AGGGGATTGAAAAAGTACCAGTGAACTTAATCCTGGCATGTATAACCCTTTGATAGGCTAGCGCCCCATCCAGGTGCGCATAGAAATACTCTTGTCACTTTATGCTCCTGAATCCAAGGTAAGGCTACAAAGCCTGATGGGCCACTATAGGCTTGAATGGCCCTTTACCTATTGCTAAATTACTGACTCCATCACCTTAAAAAAAACAAGACATTTAGGGGAAGGTTCAATACTCCCACTGCTGGTACTATCATATCAACAACATCAACCCCTCGTGTTTTCCCTTTCTGCGTTTGGATCGAAGTTGGATGAAATGAAACCTGTAAATTTTAGCTCAGTCGTCTCATGACCAAGAAAGAAAAACTTTTTTCACAAGTTTTCGACAATCTGATTACTCCGTGAGGATTTAAAGCTTAGATCTTTTGATCTTCCGAGTTGCTGATCGAAGGCTCTGTCAGAGGTTCAGCGATAGCCGGAGCGTTCGATCGTGAGATTTGAAGGTCGGAGGCTCGAATCCATGAAGATTCGGCTAGGCTTGCAAGGAAGTCTCAACATCTTCCGTTACGAAATTAAGTCGTTTCATGAAATTTTTATTTGATAATATTTATTAGACTAGGAATTCGAACTAGACAAAGAATTGCAATCTACAACTCCTCAATGGCTAATAAACAGTCAAGTTAAATGAGATCGAAGGGGTTCCATCTTCACATTGACCATTCTTGAGTATCCATAATGTAGAGCATTACGTAGTCAGCAGTTAACAACATGTGTACAGACATTCTCACTTCTCATGGCTCACATGAAACGTGCTTTCCAAATCTAACCTCGAGGCTAACTATGGCGGTTACTAAGTTTGTTTCCTCTTCAGCTCCTACATGAGCAGAGCGTTCAGCGCAGCTGTAAACAGCATGAGTGCGGTGACGGACGAAGTCGCAGAAGAAGTAGAAACGATTGCATCGCAAGATGTCAGCGCCTTCACATTTTTGCCATAAACGTCTCCAAGGTAACCCATATAGTTCTGTTTATCCACCGCTATACCTTTGAGTGCTGTAGTTGCATCTTTAAAGATCAAATCTTCCCCGTTGTTATATTTGGAGGAGTTGAAGAGCTGGAACTTATTCCAGTCAGTCTGAGTCTTGCCGTACTTGTCACTCATGGCCTTTAAGATTTTAATGATGTCTTCGATGTCAGAGTTGTCCTTCCTTGTAACCACTGCATGCGCAGGACTTGCGCCGAGATTGCATTCCTTGTATCCTCTAATCTCTGAAAATGATTGAAAAGATCTTGTATGATATATACTGCCAAAAACTCTGCCAAGCAAAATCCGTACCCCTTACTCAAGGCTTAGACCCAAAATAGTCACAGAAGATGGGGGATTTCCCACATTTCTTTCCTACCAGATACGCGGATTCATTGCTGTTGTAAGGGGCGAGAATTTGACCCTAGAAAAAATTGAATCTCATAGAGATCTGTCGACCAACGTAAAAACAAGTTTGAATCAAATTTTAGGAGACTAGAAAATGAGTGCAGCGATAGAAGGAGGAGAGAGAATGGAGTACAAATGCCCGAGGTTCGTCGTTTCCATGGTAATCGTTACTTCGGGGTTGCAGTGTATCATACCTTAGCAACTGAACGAATTACACTGAATTTTGGAGTAATCATGCATTAAAATCATTAACAACTGGTTGCCCGTGTAGCGGAATTGCCCCATGATGAGACAACTTCATTGATGTGTAACAATTCAGGACGAAGTTATTTGCACGCGTATCAGGGGAGATATAATAAGAACAGACAGCCGCTGTTTGAACTTACACTGAGAAAGCTAAAGGGCTTGAATTTTTTTTATCTTTTTAATTTTATATATTTATTTTACGCTATCAGTGTTTGTATATGAAAGGAATACAAATGAGTACTAACAAATTATCAGGACAATTAGCAGAAATGCGGTGGATAAAGTGTGAAAGACAGCATCCCGTCCAGGGTCAATAGCAATTTTTCACGTACTTCGTGGCACAGAAATATTTTACGCTCGAGCAGCAGTGATACAAGCCAGTTGTGTATAACCTTAATCTTCATTAATGTATACATTACCCATTCTCCCTCCATTCTGGCACAAGAACTGGTAGTCGTTTTGATTATCCTTATCATAAAAATCGGCTGGTGAGTCCACCTGGAGCTTTACAAAAGCCACGTCGCCCTTCCCATCCTTCATACATTTGAAGGCACCTTTATGGCTGACGTATTCATTAACTGAAGAGTTTGTAGAGCACTTGTCATTTCCAGTACCGGCGCACAGACTGCACAGGTTTTTGACCTTCTCGTATGCAGCTGCACTAACTTTATCTTTGGTACCTAGCAAACCAAACAAAATTGAAAGGACAAATAAAAAAATGGAATCTTACGGTTGGACTGTAATCGAAGACATTTCAAAGACTGAAAAAGCTGTGTTGCCTTATTGATCATACTGATATATGCTTAGACATTGTTATGTTTTTTGATTAAGGAAAAAAAACGAATAGCCGCCATCTACCTCTTTAATATTGTCTTAAGGGACCCACTCACTATACGCGAAAGGAAGTTTGCGGAGTTCTCGATTTTGAGGTCTTGCTTTGTGAAGAAAATTTAAAATTGACGTATAGCGGCGGCTTGAGGCAGTACAAAAATACTAAGCAGACATCGTGAGGCAGGAAATTTATAAACTATCCACTTTCCTTCTTCTGAATTATCACTATAGCAATAGAACAGAGCGAATTCGATTACGCATGTTCACGAACGAACCTGGGACACAGCTCTCAGTGAAGAACTTTGAAGCTGAAAAGTAGGCCTTGTATGGGCTCTTACAATCCACGGGATCCATGATCTTTGAGCGTAGAAGATATCCCACGGAAATTTTCCAACCTGCATTCTTTTCAGCCTGAGTGTGGCAAGACTTCTTCCCTTTAAGACTCTTTAAGTCGAAGCCTGTGTTACTCTTTTTCACAATGGCAACACTGTAGTATTTCACGTCATACTCGCCATACTGCTCAGAAACAATGACTTTGAAGTTATATCTTTCACCTGTATCGTAATATGTCCGAAAGAATGTGAAACAACTCACGCATAAGCTGCAAATTTCTTAATTACCCTATCAAATATTGAATATTAGTATATACTACAACAGTGGATAGCGTTGAAGGCGCGCTCTGATTGGCTTCTCAAACTCCGAATATCCTAGCTATTCTTCTCCCAGCAATGTGCGCGGGATTTGCACCCAAAAATATTGTAATCGTTGCAAGAATAAATGTGTTAAAATTATCTTTTGGTGCCATATTAACTCATCATTTTAGTTTATACTAAAACAAGTTTCAGGCCAGGGATTCATGCGTTCGAAATCAGGCCGTTTCGCGTGGTCGTCATTTTTGAACTTGGTATTCAAAAATGGAAAAAAGGGATTAAAATGAAATAAAAATACAAACAAAAAACGAAACAGAAAAATTTTCACTGAAACAAATTAGCTTTTTACTCATTTGTTTTTATGGAAATCTATACATCTAAGGTCAAATGACGATTTATTGAAAATCTTCAGTCCATTTTTCTTACTGAAAATCCACGGAAGATGAAAGATATTTACCAGCCGGGTAAATCCAGCTTCAACTTACCCGCTGAGTAAGTGTCTCCACCACTCAATGTCACCAGATCAGCCTCGCTGTTTTTTATCTTTTCCATGCAATCGTCAGGGTCAGTTCCATCGACACAACTTGTTTTAACAGCTAAGCTCATGTTTTGAGCAGTCATGTTTACGTGTTTCATAAAGTCATCACACTTGGTTTTTTCCCCAGGCAATGTGCACCATCGAAAATAAATTTCTGCAGAGAAAACTAAAAAATATATTCTTTGAAATCTTAATCCTCCAAAGTTATCGTTCATTCTTCAATCAGGTGAATTCAGCACTAGGAAAACCTATTCTTCACCCTTTAACTACCAAGATCTCATTGTTAATTATCCTCTCTGTTTGCTGGACAATGTATCATTATTATTGAGAGAAATTACATGCTAATATTTGATTGGTTTGGACAACTTGTGCCTCTCCTGTAACCAATGGCCGTGTCTGATGATTAGCCTTTGCCTTTTTCTTTATTTAATCATCACTGAGAGAATTATCGATTTCTTAGGAACATACTGCAAACTCTAAGGTCTAAAAGGCTATTATCATTTTAATCCTAAATGGGCCGAACCTCTTGCCTCAGTTCACTGTTTCCATCCTGATTTCAAGTAATGAAGACGTTTTTCTGATTTCGTTCAGAATCTTTTCAGCGTTCCATAGCGTCAGAAAACAAATAGAAATTTCTTAAACGATATGAGTATCGAATCGTTGCTTCCCTCTTTTCGACTGCGCATCTTTCACGGACAGTTTCGTAAAGATCATTTTTCGATCTCCATGGCGGTGGCCTTGCGTTGGTTTATCGACCATAACTTACAATTTTACCATTTAGCGTCCAAAATATTTCGCAAACACTTGAATAAAAAAAAGAGTAGAATTGTGTAAGAATCGTAAAATTAGAAAATGTGGCGAATCGTTTAGCAGGATTCAGAGAATCGGAATAGGTTTAAAAGGTAGTCAAAACGATAAAAACGTAGAGGCTAGGAACGCGAGAAACTGATTAGAAAATCGACTTCAATGACATTTTGGGGACACATATCAAACTGTATTTTACTGCTATTTAACATACCGTATTTACCCGTGTATAAGTCGACCTTTTACTGCCTAAAAATCGGTCCAAAAAATCGCCCTCGACTTATACATGGGTCAAAATCTGAGATAAAAAAACTTTCAGGACAAATTAGCATAATAATTGTCTGATATGTAAACAAACAATCCACTTTTACACGGTACAAGTTCCGATGTCTTTTCCCCGCACAACTCGAGCAGTCTAAGTTTAAAAGCTTAAGATTAAATAAAGAACTGATAGTTGCAGCCAATAAAGTGGTAAGTCCGCTCGACGAAAGCCACATTTCTCGCTTCGAAGTTTTGCTGCTTAGTAACCTGGCTTTGTATCGTGCGAGCGCGAGGACTTTGTTTAGCACGTCTTCCAATAAAATGTTGGTTGGCAGGGTTTTTGTTTTGGTTGTTACGCGCCTTTACACAACGATAAAGGTTCGTTAGAAAGTAGTATGTTTGATTTTGTAAGCTAATTTCAAAAATTGTGACGAAAATGCTGCTTACACGTGTCGCTAAAACACGCTAAAACGCTCGCGTACACGAAATAATAAACTTCTCGTCCAAACTTGCTGTGATTTTTTTCATATAACCATAGTACCTGAAAGAAAATTCTAGGAAATATAAGATTAGTTTTTCATTCTTGAAATTCTTGACCAGAAATAAGAAAAACTTATTTTTGGACTCCAAAATGGGGGGTCGACTTATACACGGGTTCGACTTATACACGGGTAAATACGGTATTCTCCGACTTAGCACTTATTGCAGTCTAACGATTTTTGAGGGAGTTTGCTCTTGTAATGGTTCATTGCTGTTAACTGGTCGTCTGAATACATAAGTTCAATTCAGTAACGAAGTTCTGCCGGAATGGAAAATCATACACAGATAATAGGCCATTACAGTTCTAAAGATCCTCGGAAAGTAAAGTACAATTGTGGTTTAGTAACACAGTGAGCTTTAGGCGAACAACACCTTTACACGAGTGTGGCAAAACACTTTAAGAGCCCTTGGGCAAGAGTCTCAAAGTTTATCGAGGCGTTTCGTCGACTATTTCAAATAGAGTATAGCACATTCGTGTTTACATTCTGCCTTCGCGAAGATCTCAATCTCAACTAGCGTAATTTTTGTTTTCCTGTAGCAATCTTTTCTCCAAAAGTTAGACGCAGTTTTTCACTTCCGAAGCGGAAGTTCTGTCGTTAAACGACTCTTCTATTGTTCTTTTTCAAACATGATGCTATAGATTCGCCTTGCGGTTAAGCAGTTTCTTCAATGTGTATAAGTTTTGAACGCTTTTGAGTTTCTCTGCAAGTCAAGTTGCACCCGAAGAAGAGGAGCACAAACTGAACTGGGGCCGGTACAAGCAGTCTATCTTGCATCTAAAGAGAAGACCGGAATCACCGAATACCCTTCTTCGTCGTGATGAACTTGAAAATACATTCTTTATGGTGTGGGATTTTATGAGAGTAGCTCATGTTTTGCATAATGACCTTATGGTGTGGAATGAGCGTGAAAACTCTCTTACTGACTAATTACACTTGAGCCAATCAGAAATCAGTACAAGCAAAGTGCACTATATTTAGGTTAGACGAGTATGGGCACGAAACGCGTTTTGATTTATGTTTCGTAGCTAGAAGTAGTCTTTCGATGGTTGTTGAGAGAGTAAAGTTTCGTCAAAAAATATGCGTAAGGAAATTATCTTTTTTCAAGAGAAAGACCAGAGAACCACGCCTTAGTAATCGCGAAACGCTTTATCAGTTTCTTGCATAGGAACACTGTTGTAGTATTAATTTACAAGTGTATTCTTAATTGATTAGCGGTGAAAGAAATGTCGCGTAACACCCTCTTAGCTGTGAGCCAAGCACCATTCCTTTGGTGCACCAGGATCTGAGTGACCTCGAATCAAAAATCCTTATCCGGATCATTCCAAAGGTTCATTCATTAATCCTGTCTATAATGCGAATACTTTTTTTTCGTTTGTGGTTCGTGATGTTTAAAATATCTCGCTAGTTTCGTTTTAAGCGGTAGAACATTAACATGGAAGAAAGCACATAATTTCAAATTCTATCAATATTGAGTGACAGCACATTCTATAAATCTTTCTGAAATGAATGAGATCGCAGAGAGTATCACTTGATTTCTACTCTAAAGGAAGGCCCTATCAGCAGCTTCTAGAGAAAATACCTAAACCTACCAACTGCCTAATCTTCTGCGCCAGATATTTATTAGAGTTTCGATAGTTATTAGAGTTTCGATATTTATTAGAGTTTCGATATTTATTAGAGTTTCGAGTTTCAAACGCTTAGGCGCGAAACTCAGAGTCACAGAGAATCGATGCGTCCTCTTTAATTCTTTAACTTATGTATACTTAGCTCTGCTACCACAGCATTGAGCACTTTATGCCAAGGTAGACTCTACCCCCACATTAATTTATAATTTTGAGGTATATATAAAATTCTAAATCTTTTCTACCAGGAAACTCGCTTTTGTGTACCAAAGACAATCTATAAAATTTCCACGAGTCAAAATCTCAGGGTTCATTGTCGTGCTTCACAATAAACAGAATCTGGATGGCAAAAGGTCGATTGCTCGAGGTTCGACTGCGACGAAAGAGAGTTAAATATTAGAAAACGTTCTTTTAAACGGCTATAGGCACATCCATCTCAAAAATAAAACCTATGCTCCCCTTCTTTTTTGAAAGCTTTCCTCTAAACTGGTGAAATAAACACGAAATTTTCTGTCTCTATGAAATTGCGTATCAATTTTATTTAAATTACGCTGATTTGCAGGAACGTATCGCACCAACATCGGTTTGAAGAAGCAGCGCGTTTGGCTGTATGTGTGCTTTCAAAGTTTAAACTAAAATTTGAACAAAAGTTGCATAAAATTGCGCGAAAATAATCACCTGTTTAAAAGTGATACAACTTAAAAGAAATTCACTTCCGCCACAGAAACTATCCCCCACAAATTGAAGCAGCCGCAAATGTTGAAGGTTGAATCAGAACATTTCAACCTTTATCAAAACAGCACTGATGCAACGGCGTAGATTTCAGACAAGACACATCGAAAAAAAGCTTGCTTACCTGAAAATGCGTAATGGATAGTGAGCAAAAGCAAACAAACGAATCGAATATTCGCCATTTTTGTTTAAACAGTCAGTTTTGAAGCACTCAGACACCGCCTCGAACTGACTCGTCGATCTGCGGGGCTTAAAATGTATAGCCAGTAAATCTAATGGAGGGTGAAGTTTTGCTTGGCAACAAAATGCATCACAACAAATCAGATGTCAGAGAAAGTGAGTTGTACGATGTGTCTGAACACGAATATTGCCCTGATTTGCGCACTGATGCAAATAAACAAATTCGTCTCGAACTGTTTTCTCACAACTAACGGACCTGAGCTGAGCACAATTATCGGTTACACGGAAAAAAAAACGAGTATAACAGGAATAGACGACTCAAACCCCATTCAAGCACAACAGAAAATACGTTTAAGCGATAATTGATATCATCAAAGGTAATTTTTGGTTATGGCCAAGCAAGGATAGTTTACGGCGAGCTTTTTTAACCTTGCCAGATATCTGCTAAGCAAGGGTGTTTTTTTATAGGAAAGGATGATTATGTATAAACGAACATGAGCATTATTTAGACAACATAGCACCCACAGTTGTGTCACCGATTCTCGTGTGCTTTATTTTTAAATTTGCGTTTGACGAAACACAGCTTTGTAGAATGAAGAAACTTGTCCCATGCGAAAACTGCATCAAGGTAGAGAAGAATCTAAGCTCAGGAGTATGGTTAGACCTGTAGGAGTAGGAAAAAAAATTACCGTTGGTTTTGACGTCTGTTTTCTCCTCAGGCGTTTTTGTATTGTTGAGGTTCAACTGCATTGCTTCCTCGGACCGTGAGTCTTTTAATTTATTTACCTATTCATTCGTCTACGTTACTTTGACCGAAGACACTGTGGTCGCCATTTTGAAAGCCTGCTGGCTTATTGGTCGGACAATTTAATGAAGTGAGAAGTTTTTGGCCCAGGTGAGAAAGAAGGACGGTTCGGATTATGAACCCGACAGTTTGCGAGTAATATCAGCGTCCCTGTAAGGAAGCAGGTAGCAGTGTTGCTATTGCCAAGCAAAGAAAGGTTACTAACAGCCGCAAAGTCCCCGGATGAATAGCTTGCATCCTTCTTGAGCACAAATGTACACTCGCTAATTCGCGGTTCGTGGTATTTTGGTGAATTTTGAAATATGACTCGTGGTGTTTATCATAAATAACCCGCAGAAACCATGCTTTTTCTGATACCAAAGATTACACTGATGATTGTCGTATGATGGTATTAAAAATAGTGCTAGTTCGTGTAGAGTTCAGCGCACCTGAACGTCACATGGAGAGTGAAATCTAAGTTGACATACGTAATCTTAGAAGGGAAAAATTCATAAATCTATAAACGCCTGTATTTCGTTGGTTAGCTCAAATCTTTTGGCAAACAGCGGTGTTATATTTATCTACAATCAAACCTGTATTAAGTGGTCATCCTGTATTTTAATTAAGCGACCAGTTTTCAAAGTCTCGAAATTCTTTTCCACTTAAACACTGCAATTTTCACTTCTATCAAGCGTCTGTGGTCACACTTTATTTATTTAGTCCCAAAGACGTGTTTTCAATATCTTCTACCAGTTAGAAAGGTCACTTAAAGCGAAACTGCTTATTAAATAAAACTAAGCAAAACTTTCAAGTATATTCAATCTATGTTTATCTCCCGCAATCAATACTAGTAGTAATTTTTTCAAGTTGAGTGCATGTAGTGATCAATTATGAGATAAAATAGCGTTTTTTTTTATCGTTTTCTATATACAGGTTCCTCTTTACCGAGGAACCTGTGAACCCGTATTAAGAGGGAAACCTGTCTTTACATGTTTTTTTGTTTTTTATCATAAATGCCGTAATAACGATCGATCTAAAATTGTAATCTTCATGACAGATGTGCATCGTTACTGCCTGTGCGGCGTTTGACGATGTTGACTTAGGAAATATCACGGGTCAGAGGTCGATAAAAATAATTTCCTGAAAATTAGAGTAACGCTGCAGTAGAGAGTTTTTCTCATCTTAACCTTCACCTAATTTCAAAATCCAAGATGGTTTACAAATACGTTGCAAGTGCATCGCTGCATGTTTGTTGCAAGATAAACCCGTGTGAAGTGGCGTTATCCTCGAATTCAGAAAGTAAACGACTAAACTTCTGCCGTTACAAGTCTTTCTCAAAGTATTTATCGGATTCTTGCCATTTGAACAAAAAAAAAACATAAAATAAGGAATCTAAACTACATTCTTTACATCATGCTGCAAGGAGTAAACTTGTCGAAAGGGAATATTAGCAACCGGAACTATTCAAAAGATGTGCCATAGGGGAAATCCACCTCTAACGCACACTAACATCTACTGGTAACCTTCGCGTCGTCTTCGGTTCAAGCTTTACAGGGTGGAAACCACTCGATACCTCAGTCACATGTATTTATGAACATCACGTGCCAAGGGCTTGGGATTTATATAAAAAGGAACAAACTAGCGGATATGTAATGTGCTCGTGACTTAGCAGCCGGCAGATAGAAGCAGACATCATCAAACGTCACGATCAAATTAAATACCTACAGTGTAATCAGTCCTGGCATTCTTAGATGTTTTTTAAGGTGAGTTGATTAATAAATTGTATAAAATTCTGCTCAGTTTTGTCGCGTTATTGTCAACTATTGAAATAACGAAGCCATTATCTGTGTAGAGAATGAAATAGCTCAAATTGGGCATATGCTGTTTCATTCAAGCAGTTCTTTCTGATTCATTCAGAAGCTCACTCAGTTATAAAAAAGGAGAGCAAATTTTACGTTAGGTATGTTCAATAATGACTTTGAAACACGAACTTTCTGAGTTGGAAGGAAGCGAAAGAATTAAAGACAGGTCAAGGGATTGTGTCTGACGCAGTGAAGTTATTCATGTATCCAGTGCCCACGTAAAAAGTTTTTAGTTAAAAAAGGAACCGCACTTCGCTTTGTGGACCATTACTCAACCATCTAATTATAAATTGATTTATTTCAATTGCGATGCCTCTGGCCTGTAGAGCAGATGTAACTTTGGCGAGCGAGTGCTCAGTATTTTCTTAGCGACAGTAATGGCTGCCATCTTTGATTTTTAACTCTTTACTTGATATCATCTTCAAATGTCCTTTAACTGCCTGGAAAATCGTTAACTTTTTGGATCTCTCTTGCAGGAAGCCGGTCAAGTATCAACTTCCAAGATGGCACAAAGCGATGAAAGCCCTCCCAAGATACTGATAGAAAGGATACGCATCAACAGCACACTACTTACAGTTGTCCTCGCCATTATTTCCGTAGTAACCACGACAGGAAACCTCCTAGTAATCTGGACTATCTATAGGAATCCGCGCTGGGAACAACGGACCGTTTCCAAATTGCTTGTAGTGAACCTCGCTGTGGCAGATTTGATGGTTGGCCTCTTGGGTGAACCACTTTTGATAATCAGTCATTTAGTGCTGAAAAACAGTCATAATGAGTTAGCGAATAATTTTACGACCGCAGCTGGATTGGTGCTCATCTTAACGATGGCCGCTTCAAGTTGTACAATTTACAACCTTACATTAGAGAGGTACCTTTCTTTGGAGATGCCTCCGTGGCGAGAGAAGCTGTTTACTGGTTTGCCTGGGAAGCTCAGCATTTGTTGTATTTGGAGTTTTGCATTACTTATAGCCTTTCTTCCAACTCTTATTGGAAAAGTGGATATGATTAAACTGTTTCATTCCGGCTTTTTTGTCTTTGTTGCAATTGTTGTAATCGGTTTGTACATGCGCATGTTCATAATCATACGAAAATTCAACAAGACGCCTCTCACACAAAGAATTAATCAGCCACTTGTTCAACCTGGGCATGTGTATACTGCAGCGAAAAGACGAGAGCATTCATATGTCAAAGACATGTTTCTCTTTGTTGGAGTATACGTAGTGTGTTACCTTCCTTTTTGCATCGCTAGTTTTAATAGTTATTCTTCTATATCAATAGTAGCAGAAAAAACTGGTTTGATCTTACTTGCGTTCTTGAACTCCGCTCTCAATCCAGTTCTCTACACATTTACAATGCCACGTCACCGACGCAAAGTAAAGAAGATTCTTGATGGTTTAATCAGAGCGCTCCGTTTGTCTCTTTGTAGGTAGAAAAGTGAGCTTTATGGAGCTTAACCCAACGGCATGATAGCCGGCTCTTGTTCAAATAGGCTATCTATTGATGAAAATATGCTTTTAAACAACTGTTTTTGCTATTAACCAATTACGCTGGTCTAGTCTACAAACAACTGAAAATAATAGTTGACATTCACCGCTAAAGTCTTTTAATCAAGATGACGATTTTTTGAGTCAGTTTTCATCTCTCACACGAAAGCCTATTTTTTGCCCTTGAAAGTACACCGTTATGATGTTCTGCTATTTTAATAGCCCTGAATGAAAACTTGATTAAATTAAACATAGTTGCCTTTTGATATATATCTAACAGTTGATAGCCTCAACATTTTGCCATATCTACTGAATAAGCTTTTGAAGAAATCAAACAAAGTTTGATGCTACTCTGGCTTAAAGATTTAATGAATGTAACCAAGAGGTTACAGTTCATAGACCCAACGTTTTAACACTCTTGTCTGGTACTTTCATAAGGGGTGATCTAATCGCTGCAACAAGAGGCCCATTTTTAGAACATTCTGTCAAACGAGGTTAGCAGGTCACTAGTTGAAACAATAATTTTAATGCAATTATGAATCAAATAGGATTTATCATAAGAAATTTTATTGTAAAGTTGTTACTAAAATAGGCAAATGAACTCTTTAACTAATGAAAGTTCCAGTGCTATTTTTTCATCGTAGTTGTAATGCACAGCTCCTTAGCTGGGAGAGCTACAAATAAAAATTTCACTCATTCATATTATAATGGTATCACCACCAAGTGTAGACCGAGTCCGCAGTACAAACAATTATCATTTAAATTGTCCCTAAACGTAGCGGTTCAGGAAAGGAATCGTGCCGTTTGAAGCACAGTTTCCAAATTATTTTTAAAACCAGTGGGTCTTAACTCAAACTAGTTAGTACTTGGCCACTTAGCGCAATCTCTCTCTCTCTCTCTTCCCCTCTCTCCCCCTCTCTCCCGTTCGCAATCAGAAAGGAAAACACGAGCTGTTTAATTTCAAGGTATTTTCAGCTTATGACTCATATTGTCAGGCGCTATCAACAACCCTTGTCATCTTAAGCCTTGATATCGAGATATTGCGCGCACATCAATGCGTTGTTGGAGACCGTGATGGATCGACAGACAATGCAGAATGTTTCGTACAACGGGCGGAGAGTGGTATATTCTTATCCTCGCAAGACGTTGAGATCCTTGTTTGAAAATCCGAGACCGAGGCTAGACAATCATCTTCATCTGTACAGCTCCATCTCTCTAATATTACTTTACTCATATTATTGAAAGGTTATTATTAGCAAGAACATCCCACGTCCGAGTGGAGATACACCCTTAATCAAGCGTTTTCTTTTAGTGATGCATCAACCCTGGCATTAGAATATCTTCAAACGGGAGCAATTACACGCAGACTTTCATCGTCGCCAGCGATTACTCCGAACCCCTCTAGCTCTCATCTGACCGAGAAGCTTGGCAATGGGGAAAAATCCCAGACTTTCACATCTTTGTGAGAAATGCCGATATGAAGTGTACCATCAAGAAATCATTTGGCACCAAGAGATTATGTGTGGCACTACTTATATAGAATAGGGAGAATTCGAGACACATCGAACAATCTGATGAGACCCCGAGATCGGCTGAAAAAGTTGAATTTCTCATCAGAGTTGCGTGACATTACAAATCTGTTGATCAACTATTACCGCATTCCGAGGAAAGGCGGAAAAGTAAAACAAACATTCAAGGTCAACTGACTCTTATAAGCAAGCAAAGTCCAAGTTGCCTATCATAGTCTAAGGTTTCTACGCTTACATTGATTGGGACGTATTTAGAAAATAACTTTGAAGTAGTAAAAATCTCAAGCAAAAAAACTTTATTGTTTCGTAATAAAATTCAATGAAATTCAGTGGCTCTAAATCCCAAGGATGTTTGGCTATGATTATACGGGACTTCCGCAAGCGTCACCACTCATGTGATAGAAAGGGAAAGACCCGGATACAACGTGATCAATTTAAATTTACAGGAAATTGAGCTATCAAGAATTGACATGTTCCGGTGGATTTCTCAGTTGACTATAAATGTTTGCTTTTGCCAAACTAGGAAGAAACTAGGGCTATTTCCATATTTCCCATTCGTTCTCAGTGCGCGTGACATCTCAAGAACTTCGAGACGATTCTGTCGGCTCAAACAGAACGGGGTAAGTAAAAAAAATATTTACCACAGTGAGATCTATCAGCTTTGCGACGGATTATCGGGGCCAAGGATAACGTGAATTGCTGATCACAAGAACCATCCGTTTGAAGGTGAATAGCAGTGTTGTGTTGATCTGCTGAACAGCTCCTGGCATTTGCGATGTCTGAAGGTAATTCAATTTGGCAAATACTGAGATTTTTTTACCGTTCTCGCGTGCTCAGAACGCTATCTATTAACGTATTTGTGGAGCGGCTTGAATTGCTCTCATTGTATATACGTTGTGTAAATTCAGGCATTAATCTCTCGGCAATATTGGCAAGAACTCCACAAGACTCCCAACATTTTTAAAGGCGAAGCAAATGAAAGTAAAAATACTCCATAACACGGTTCGGATTTAATGAACAAGCTGACGGAAGATTCTGAGCCAACGAGGCTAAATCGCTTTTCATTTTTAGACCAGTTATCAAAGAAACCTTTCTGATTTGCAATCGAAGGAAATCTTGTTTCTGAACTTAGCTTTTCGTTTAATAAGGAATTTGTCGAACAGAAGTGGAATCGAAAGTACTTTAGGAAGAGGAGGAGGGATGAACCATTCTTCTCTTAACCCTTTACCTCCCATGAGTGATCAAGAGAGAATTTCTCCTTACAATATCAATACAATACCAAGCATAGAAGTGACGAGAATAAAGTAAAATATCAATTCGGAGATTATTAGTTGATCCAATACCAAATTCTCCGAATTGACATCATAACAATTGTATATCAGACAGTTAAGAGAACTACTAATGAGATCTTGGGAGTTAAAGGGTGAAACATAATATATATTTCATGATTTCAACCTTAATGGACTTCTTTTGAACTTCAATTGCTAGATTAATTGATAAAAGCATCGATTACAAAGATAGTGGTCACTTTGTTCAATCCGTCTTTCCACATAATTTTCTTTCCTGAGATAGTTATATATGTCCCCCAGTAACTAACCGCTGTGAGGCTAAAATGCGTATCTGCATTCAAATCATAAACAAGAGTGGACTGGGTGATCATCACACTTTGATGACGTTTAGATAAGCTGATTGCCTTTATCCAAATAGGCATTTTACTTTGATAAACCCCAACATTTCCGAGATATACCTTATGATTAAATGAACGTGGCCTTTGAATCAAAGACCTAGTAACGTTTTCTCAAGATTCTGGGGTCTTGTATGACCGGTGCAACCTTGCTACTCTTGTCATTACTAGCTCATGCCAGTCTGTAAACAAGAAAATATGGAAGAAACCGGCAATACCGATTCGACCAGATGATGATATTGTACCCAGTCAATCCGGTAAATCAGCTCATTGACAATATCGGTCAAAATTCATTCTGGAATAGAAGATTCTAATAATTTTGGTATCGAAATAACATAAAATGATTCAATCGAAATTAATAAGTATC